GATTTTGAAAATGACTTCATTTTAAGATTACGCCACTGCGTTTCGACTTATTCAAAGTTTTTCGAATTTATCCAATTTAAAGCTCTACTTTTATAATGGCGGAGCCTTAGTTTTTAAAACGACTTACATTTTAAGATTAGGCCACTGTGTTTCGGTTTTATAAGTGTTTTTGATTTTTTTCTTCGAATAAAAACAAAATACGAAGGATTAATTTAGTTTTCTATAAATAAATAAAAATATCTTTTATATTGGATAAATTCGAAAAACTTAAATAAGTCTAAACGCAGCAGCGTTATCATAAAATGGAGGTTATTTTCAAAATCTACAGCTCTAGAAACATAAGAATACACCCTCATATGAAAAAAATCCGAAAACCTCAAATAAGTCGAAACACACGTGGCCTAATCTTAAAATGGAGGTCATTTTCAAAATCTACGGCTCAGGAAACATAAAAGTAGACCTATATATTGAATAAATTCTAAAAACTTAAATAAGTCAAAACACAGTGGTGTAAACATAAAATCGATGTCATTTTCAAAATTTACGGATCGGGAAACATAAAAATACACCCTTATATCGAATAAATCAAAAAATCTTAAATAATTCGAAACGCAGTCACGTAATCTTAAAATGGAGGTTATTTTCAAAAACTACTCATACCATAACAGACCCACATATCGAAAAATTAAAGATAATTAAATAAATAAAAAAGGTTGAATTTGAAATGGAAAAGGTTTAATTTGAAATGGAAAAGGTTGAATTTGACTTGGAAAAAGTTTAATTTGATTTGAAAAAGGTTGAATTTGACTTGGAAAAGGTTGAAATTCACTACTTGGAAATGCTATATTGTCCAGTGACTAACTTAAAAATAAAAAACACAAAACTTAAATTTTGTGCTTTTTTATGGAAAATCCAACTATGGTGTATTAGCATTTCAAAGTCTATTTCAACCTTTTCCAAGTCAAATTCAACCTTTTTCAAATCAAATTAAACTTTTTCCAAGTCAAATTCAACCTTTTCCATTTCAAATTAAACCTTTTCCATTTCAAATTCAATCTTTTGTTTATTTATTTAATTATTTTTAATTTTTCGATGTGTGGGTCTGTTATCGTATGAGTAGTTTTTCCCTCACACAATGTCACATAAAGGAGTAAATGCAGGGGTCCATCTACTACAACAAGGAGTCCTAAATATAATAGAAAATATTTAAATAGGTGATAATAATAATAGACTTCAGAAGCTATAAAATGTTTTATATAGCATTTCCATTTCAAATTCAACTTGAAGAATTTTTGTGAATTTTCAATTTTTTTTCTAAGTAAAGGCCACTTGCTATATTATCAAATGAATAGCTTAAAAAAATCACTTTGAAAATGTGATAACATGGTTGCATATTTATATCCATTTATTTTTACGTTTTAGATTTTTTTGGTGTAACATTTCCATGTCATATTTAGTTTTTCCTAGTTAAATTCAACCTTTTCCAAGTCAAATTCAACCTTTTCCAATTCATATTCGACCTTTTCCATTTCATTTTTTTTTTTAACCCCTTCCTGGCATTTTTGCCATAAGGGGTTTCAGCAGTGCGTTAATACGTTGGGAATACATACCGCTCCTGCTGCCAATAATAATTATGTTTATTTTATTTTATTGTTACTGCGGTGCGGCCCAGTGCATGGGTGTGTGCCTTACTGATGGGATCGCACCTTAGTCTCCAGCTGGTTGCGTATCTTGCCCTCCTAGGTAGTTTCCTCCAACAGTTTGATGCTGCCTCTTCCTTATGGCCTGCTCGTAGAAATCATCGCCCTATTGAGAAGTGCGTAGGTTCCACCTTTTGTCTCCATTTTCCCACAAAATCTACGAAGTGGGGGTATTTATCCTCTTCCATCAGTCGAGGAAGATACTCTTCGTCTAGGGCGTACAGTCCGTCCTCCGCACCAATATGCCTCTGGCTTGCTCCATCGCAGTGCATGATATAACCACATGCTCAGCCGTATCTGGGGCACCACAGTCAGGACATGAGGGGTCGATGTTCTTCCCATGCTTCCTGAGTTTGTCTCTAAACCCCCCATGTCCCGTCAGGTTCTGTGAGGTCCAATAGTCCGCCTCGACCCAATGTGCTTTCAATCTGGAATGAACGTTGGGGAAGTACTTTCTCAAGGTGGCTCCATTCTCACTTGCAATCCACTGCCCATTCCACTCTTCTAGTGTCGCCTCTCCGACTATGCCACTCCATCTTCCTGGATCCTCACGGATCCTCAGTGAAGCCCCTCTGGGAGCGCCTCCAGTCCCTGCCTCTTTAGGCCATTCCTCCAAGCGTCCTCCTGAAGGACGACGTCCAGGGACAACTCCCCGGCCAGCACTTGCACCGCTTCGTGGGACACGGTTCTGTAAGTCCTAGTCATCCTCATCAGGGAGAGCCTTTGGATGGTGGCCATCTTCTTCTTCTGCACCTGATTCAGGCGACGGCTCCACGCTGGGGATGCATACCTCAGTATACCCAGCACAACTCCCTTGTAGATGATTCTTGTTGCTGAGTATCTGAGGTCCCAAAAGGCACCCCCTACCCGTGCCAGGCCATTTAGGGACAGGGCCAATCTACTCCGTAAGTACTCTATCTGAGGAGAAATATTGAATTTTGATTTAAATCTCACACCTAGGTAGATGATCTCCTCACCTTGGCGGACTCTATCTCCTCCTACTCTGAGACTAATAGGGTGGGCCCTGTCCGTAGAACCCTTCAACAGTATGGCCTGGGTCTTCGCCGCTGCCATCTTCTTCTTCTTCGTTGCACACCATTGTTCTACTATAGTGGCGCACGCACCTTTCTCCTTCCGCCACCAATCTCGCCCTGCTATTCGCTGATACTATGGCAGTCAGGTCATCAACATAGGCAACGGCACCGAAGCCCGCTACCTCCAATTCCTCCAGCAACTGGTCAAATACTAACTTCCACAGAGCCAGGCCCAGGACTGAGCCCTGTGGACATCCTCTTTCTATTTTCCGCTCTACCTCATAGAAGGTACCCCGTATCCTAGCTTTCCTATAGCTGAGGTACCCCCTAATGAGGGAGTACAAATTGCTGGGGGCGTCGAACTTTTGGAGGTGCTGGAGTACGCAGGGCCACCATACGCTATCGAAAGCTATACCTTTTCCATTTCAAATTTAAGTTTCGATTTTTTGTAAATTTTTTATTTTTTTCAATATTAAGGCCATTTTCCAATATAAGGGTCTATCATTATGCTCTTCTAAGTAGAGTTTTTCAAAATACTATAAATTTATTGTACCTATTTGGATTTATTCGATGTAAGGATCTAGTATTATGTTATTGTGTGCCTAGTTTTTTAAAATAATCTCCATTTTAAGATTATGCCACTGCGTTTTGACTTATTTAAGTTTTTCGGATTTTTTTCCATTTTAAGATTACTCCACTGCGTTTCGACTTACTTAATTTTATCAAATTTATTAAGTCTCTATTCGGAGAGTCCTAATAAAGTAATTTTAGCAAATAATGGTGTATTAAAATGGCAGCCAGAGGGCTTCGTGAAGGAGATTGGATGGACAGGGAGCAGTGGCTTTTGGATATTGGGGATATGACTCTTTAAGTTGTATAAAACCCAAATAATAATAAAAAAATGGTGTATTAAAATATGATGATATAACATATAATAGATTTTATGACAGCATTATGAAAACTAAAATATAATCCCTGCTAAGTTTGTCTACTTATATGTTATCAGAGATTCAAATAAATGAATAAATTAGAAAAACTTAAATAAATTGAAATACAGTGGCGTAACCTTAAAATGGAGGTTATTTTCAAAAACTACGCATACGATTACTGACTCATACATCAAAAAAATTAAAAACAATTAAATATATAAAAAAACGTTGAATATGAAATGGAAAAGGTTGAATTTTACTTGGAAAAAGTGTAATTTGATTTGGAAAAGTTTGAATTTGACTTGCAAAAGGTTGAAATTGTCTTGGAAATGCTATACAAAACATTTTATAGCTTCTGAAGTCTATTATCACCTATTTAAATATTTTCTATTACATTTAGGACACCTTGTTGTAGTAGATAGTCCCCTGTACTTACTCCTTTATGGGACATTTTGTGAGGGAATGAGAAGAAATTATAGGAATGTGAGGTTGCACTGTGAATTATACTCAATTGTGCAGTGGACAAATTATTCATTGAAAAGTCTCATATCTATAAATAATCGATGAAGAAGGAAAATGGTCCGGTCAAGTAGCAGCAGCTGGAGAAGGATGCCAGGGAGAGAAGGCACTTGAGGTTGGGACATGAAGGCGGAAGGACGTTACCTGAGAAGGGAAGTCTACTATACTGAAGATTAAGAAGATTAGGCCTAAAGTTATAAGACTTTAAAATTCACTTATTACAGTTGTAAAATAAATTGTTTTGTTAGACAGGAGTGAAAAGTCATTTATTTATTTAGTTGTCCCATAGGCCTCACAATTGAAAAATAAAAAACCAGGTGAGTCAATTCATTCAAAGTGTATTTACTCAGTCCCACATTATATATATATATATATATATATATATATATATATATATATATATATATATATATATATATATATATATATATTCTTATTGTTTCTTATCACTCAGTGTCACAAAAGGTATTAGATTCCCGAATTCCCAACAACAGTTAAACACCCTCAAAAAGTCCATATCCAGTGCCGGGGTTTCGTTTTAAGAAAATTAAATCACAAGTGTAAATAACCTAGTCCCCCGATAAACGGAAGGAATATTTACAATTACCACCAAAACAGGTCATTTAAATTAACCTTTAACATGTTATTTACATTTATACCCACTTATCATGGCTAGATAAGTTAATAAGCATGTACTCCGTTTAAAATAAATTTAATTGTGTCAATTTGAATGTGATGCATTAAAGATGTTTTAAAAACTTATTGATCAAATAGTGAATTTCATATTGAATTTTACTATCAATATTTTCTTCTTATAGCACTCAATGAAAGAAAAGCAGTTATAAGAATTCAATACAATGATGTTCCTGGTGACATATTTGATAAGCAATGTAAACGTAATGAGCTTGTCATCAGAGTTCAACCTAATGAAGCAGTTTATGTCAAAATGATGACTAAAACACCTGGAATGTCATTTGATATGGAAGAAACAGAACTAGATCTCACATATAGTAATCGTTACAAAGTATGATTTTTTTTTTCAATCATTATATTGGATATTAGTTAGTTTTAAGCTGTGATGGTAATTTTTTCTTAATGTGTGATTCCTATGTTTTCTGTTAGGATATTTTAATGAATTGAAGTTTATATTGCCAAATGTTTAGAATTTGTTTTTAATTTAAAATGTGAAATAATAATTGTTGTTTTTAGGTAATGAATGTTTCTTTTGTGTGTATTTTATTTTTCTTTAATATATTAACATAAACAACATTTTTGAGCTCCACTCCATCATTAGAAATTCTATTTTATTATTCCTGATATTCTCATACAAATCTATAAAGTGGTATATTGTCAGCAAAACATTGCAAAGATCTAAAAGAGAGTCCTAATAGAGTAATTTTAGCAAATAATGGTACATGAAAATATGATGATATAACATATAATGGATTTTTATGACAACATTATGAATAGTAAAATAAAATGACTGATAATAAATAAGGTAGGCCCCCAAAATCTTAATTATATTACCATATATATAAATAAAATACTAGCAAGAAAAGAAACATTCAGAACCTAAAAAGCAGCTACATTTATCCGTCCTAATATAGAATAATTTATTGAAATAATTATTCTTATCAGTATCCTGTCATTAAAATTTCTATCTGGCAATATATCAGTTTTCATCTATTAAAAATCCCTATAAAATATAAAACTTTGTTTTATAATGATACTTTATCACTAACCATTACTATTTTTTTAGGGTGTTAAATTGCCAGATGCTTATGAAAGATTAATCCTTGATGTTTTCTGTGGATCTCAAATGCATTTTGTAAGATCAGATGAGCTTGCTGAAGCCTGGAGAATTTTCACTCCACTTTTGCACCAAATAGAGATGGAACGAATTAAACCTGTTCCTTATTTGTAAGTTTATTTACATCTAAAATTTGTTTTCCTCATCCTCTTGATAAAATCTTGTGCTAAATTATAAACATTTTTCATGGAAAATTATAGGTTTACTAGTAAAATTGTAATGATAACCTATAGCTGTTTTCGGAAGTAATCAAGAAGACATTGAGAAACTCGCTACAACACTGATAAGAAAGGCAGAGCAGATCGGCCTACAAGTAAATAAAGACAAAACAAAATATATGATAATAAGCCGAAAATTCCACCTCAATAACAGGATCTGCGTAGAAGGAAAATCATTACCGAGAGTAGAAAAATTCAAATACCTCGGCTCCATAACAACCTCAATGAATGAACAACAGACAGAAATAGACCAGCGTATAACTAGTGGGCATAAGCAGAGCTTTCTTCTCCCTCTCAAACGTATTAAAATCCCGAAAAATCTCAAACTAAGGGTGTACAATGCTATGACAAAGCTAGTTCTAATACATGGCTTCATCATATAAAGCCATATATTAGAACCTGGACACTAACCAGCACCCTAGAAAAAAGTATTGGAAGATTTGAGTGGAAAATTCTCCACACGATAACCGGAGCGATCTAGGATCAGAGTACTAACACATGGAGAAGAAAGACAAATAAAGAACTGCTTACAGGAACTGGTCAATCAATATCCCATGATATGAAGACACAGAGGTTAAGATGAGCAGGGCATGTAGCTTGTAGCATTCCATCTGGAAGCCTCTACGTAACAATGAATGCTTCAATAGAAGGCAAAAGACCATGTGGAAGGCCAAAAAGCCGATGGATAGATAGAATTAACAAAGATACAATAGAGCTGTGTGCAGATAAATAGAAAGAAATAGTTCAAGACAGGCAGAGATGGAGCAGGCTTGTTAAGGCATCAAAAGATCTACATGGTTTGTAATGCCAACAGAAAACGCCCCAAAAAAACCTATTAATTATAAAAAAGTTTTAATCAACAGTGGGACATATTTGTTTACTTTGTTGTTCAACTAATGGTTAAAATTACTAAGTTTACTGTGCTTATGTTTATGTGGTGCTAATTTATTCTTCTTCTTCATGGGCATTACAACTCCTCGCTGAGTCTTGGTCTCCTCAATTAGTCTCATCTACTGGTAGATTAGTTCATCTACCTGAGCGTACTGGTCCATAAATGCGACGTATTACTTTTTTTTCAAAGACCAACAGCTTTTTTTCATCTGTTTTGGAGAAGCTCCTCGTTTCCACTCCATATGCTAAGACAGGACCAATCAGCGCCATGTACAGTGTTGCTTTTGTTTTCCTGGGGATTAAGCAATTACTTAGGTACCGCCGCAGGCAAAAATAACATTTATTTGATGCCAGGATCCTTTTAGATGTTTCTTCTGTTGTCAGCATTTACTTGGGAGCCTAGATAAACAAATTGTTGGACCGTTTCGATTGTGTAGTTACCAATCGAGATTTGTTAATGTGGTACATTTATGCCAGCAACCATATACTTGGTTTCGCTCTCATTTATAGACAGTCCCATTTTCCGAGAGCCAGAAAAGCCTCCTTTACGCTGCGAAGTGATCTCCCGATGATATCAATATAATCTGGTGATTATTTATTAATACTTTTGTTTCCACTTAGTGAGCAATGCTAATGAAAGCTTTGTTTTTTATGGTTAGGTGAAACAGCAATGAGAATCCTTTAAAATAAAGGTAAATATGTTGATGACATAAATGGAGCACTGCTGACAGAGATAGAAAGGTAGAACCAAGAGTTCAGCTGCTTGTTTGACGCATATGAAAAATGAATTGTCAGTAATTCTTGTGCCCATAATAAGTACAGGACTTCAAATAGACATGATGTTGGAAGGATGGGATAGTAAGGAGAATTATTCATGTCAGAAGTTGGGAATGTTAAAAAAAAAAACCTCTTTGCAAACTGTTCAAAACAGTTCTATTAGTGTTAGAGCCAATGACACTTTTATTGAATGGACAAACGTAAAGCTACCAATACCTTTAACCTTTTTGCTGTTGCGAGTAACTAGTTTTACATCTATTGCAGGGATGAGTAAGATGTCTAACGGTCTACCAGCACATGCTACATACTTTTTACCTATGTTCCATCCTTCATTCTGGCCTTTTACTACTATCTGTTAATCTATTTTATTGTTTCCACCCTTTGTTTTGATTAGGGCTGTGAACCTATACTGGCAGAATTAAAATTTTTTTTTAAAGTTTGAATTTATAGTTAGTAATTTAATTTTGTGTGGTATTCTTTGAAACATTTGTCTAAACAAAGACCAACCTTACTATCACGACATTCTACTTTTATTGCGTGCAAAATGTTTTTTTAGAACACATAATACATCTTCGGTAAGTCCTTTTTTTTTCTTTGCCTTTTAGGCTATATGGGGGTTTTCCCGGGCTAGGGAGTGAGGACGGGGAATTTAAAAGAGTCCCAGGCACCGGGAGGCAAACTCGTTATTTTATTGTCTCCAAACTATGGTTATCAGGTTGCTAGGCAACACATAGTGCTTTGCACACATGTTAGCCCGTTAGGCCACTCTATTTTTTTTTATGTTTGTTATGAAACAATGAGTCTGGGAAAGTGAATCTCCGTCAGGATTAGAGGCAGAACTTCATTTGACCTCCCCCCCTTAGATTTTCTTTCAGTCCAATATTTTCCTTAGTAAGGGTAACTGGAATTCTCAGTTGTCAGGTTTTGCCATGTCACAATCTGTGATGTGTGAGCACAGTCAAATCTAAAACGTGAAGAAATAGTTCTGGTACAGTATTTTTTACCAGTGATATCTGCATTGTGTATAGTGGATAACATCCAAACCTTCCATCAGTCTGACCACTTCAGAGCTAACACTGTTTGTGGACCTGAATTCGATTTGTCTTCTCAACATTTTCGACGTTCCTCCACTTTCGGCGTATTTTCAATTTTTCCTTACCGCTCCACATGAATTGGTTGCCATATTGTGTTACCAACAAAATAGTGCTAGGCTGGTACACAAATAGTCGACATATACGACCACTTTTCAATTTATATGACATAAATGGCCACTTTTAGAGTGGCCCAACTTTTAAAGTCTACATAAATGGCCACTTTTCAAATATAGCTTCAGAAGTGTCAACACAATGTTATTAGTCTGTGGGCCAGACCCCCTTACCGTGCACCTCCCCCCACATCCCTATAAATTGCATATCGTTGTGTTCCTTGTAACAATTTATTAAAAAAAAGCCAATGTTCCCATAAAAAAAATGAACGCACTGCTCCAAAATGGTGTCCAAAGATGGCGGATTGACGACTTTGACTTTAGTTAGTTTTTTGGTCACTGAGAATCAGCATTTGGCTTAATTTCCTCATAGTTGGTCTTTTATTAAAGCTGAATAGTCATAGAATAATAAAACATGAAGAAATTTTAAAAAATAATTGGCTTAGGCTACGAAAAACACCAGTAAAGTCAATTTTTTTTGCAAAAAAATTTTCAAGTCACCAATCAAGCGTCGTTTGTAATTAAACGGCCTACAATAACGCAAAACGAGCTGAACTGAATAAAACATCTGGAGAATATATTTCTCTTTCTAAAACGCTGATTATTTTTTAAAAAATTTTAAGCAGTTCCGTAGAAAATGTACTTATGCAGCAGAGAAGCGGTACTGGCATGGGTGCCTACAGGCCTCTACCACACCATTCAGCATACATAAATGGCTTAGTTATAGTGATATAATAACATTTTTGGTACATTATATTGGTTTTATTGACGAACAAATATTAATGCAATAATCTAATAGTAAAAAAAAAAATTTATTATTATTATTTTTTAATTTAACCTCCTTTATTCTATAAGTAGGTCGTTTAAGAAGACCTCAATTGTAAAAATGATAATATGATAATAATAAAACTTAATTAAAAAATACTTTGCTAAATATCTTGATTTTTTTTTAATTTAACGTTTGCAATTTAACACTGTGTTTTGTATATTTACTGATTCTTAGAGGTAATTAAAATTTATATATACTTCTCAGGAAATGAGTCATTTTAATACCTGTTTTATAAACTAAAATAATATATACCTAATCTGAACTATAGCATTTCCAAGTCAATTTCAACCTTTTCCAAGTC